TTTTAAAAAAATTTAAATAATTAATAATATTAGAACTCTCTACTAATTAGAAATCTTACGTAAATATCCAACTGGAAGTATCTTACAAAGAAAAGCTACTAGTGAGTATACGTTTTCTGAGCAAAAAGTAACAATACCAAAGGATACGAAGGTCCTGATCCCTGTATGGGCAATACACCACGATCCAGAAATTTTTCCTGATCCCGAAAAATTCGATCCAGAACGATTCAACGAAGAAAATGAGAAAATGAGACATCCTATGAATTATTTACCTTTTGGCGATGGTCCGCACAATTGCATTGGTATTTATTGTACTTTTTTTTGCATTCATATATTTTTGTATTACTGATCAACTTGATTTCTTTGGATCTGCTCAGGATATCCATTTGGGATTTGTCAAACAAAAATTGGAGTAATCGCAGTAATAAAGAAATTTCAACTTGAAGTTTGTGAGAAGACCGACATTCCTTACCAAATCAATCCTCGAGCTGCAGTATCTACACCAATTAATGGAATTCACTTAAAAATTACAAAATTATAAATTTTTTAAAAGTGAAATACTATAAAATACATCTACAATTACAATAATTTCAAATGTATAAAACTAAAATTATCCTTAACATCATATACATCATGTTATTCCAACAAATAACATTAAAATTCATAAAAGTTTATTTTGCAGTTTTTTCTTGGACTTTTTTTCGACATGAATTTAGCAGTTGCCATTACTATTATATGTCATCCAACTAANGGGGGAGCTATAAAAAGGATTATTAATCGGACGTGGTGTCTATTAGCCAAAGACTCCTCGATTAATCCTCGGCGAGGCCCCGTTACGGCTCTTCCAGCTCCTCGTGAGCGCGGGGGGGGGGGGGGCACGCGAAATTTTCGTTCTCCCACGCTTAAGGGGACACGCAACAAATTGTCCCTCCCTTTCTTCTGCCTCTTCTCGTGAATATCCTCGTCGTCATCGTCGTGTACAGGCTGCGATATTCGCTGTGCCTCATCTCCATGTACATATATATATATATATACGTACCTACAGCTCTTTTGCCTGGGCGTATGTGTGTGTCCGGCAAGATTCATAAATCAACAGATAAGATCACTCTCGAGATTATGGATGTTATCTCGGCGAGGATAGGGAGGTCCTCTCTTTTTCTTCCAATTTTTTTTCTTTTTTTTCTTTTTTTGTATACGCTCCCTCTCTCGAGTCACTTGGGTTGTTTTTTTAGATTGCTCTCTATTATATGATGGGCGTCGAGTCGTTTATGGGTAATTAACCCGATGGATTGATGGAGATGAGGGACAAAAGTTACGGCGACGGTGTTTGTTTATAAGAAAGAGCTGACGTTGATAACGTATCGGGAGCACCTCGCTTTTTTTTTCTTTTTTTTATCTACATCTTAATTATGTGTTTTATCATACATATTCATTGTACTGTGCCTTCTAGCTCGTAATTTTAACGATATTGGCAAAGTACGTGCCTCAAGGTGCGAAATAAGAACACGAGCTGCAATTGTGATTTAATGGTGTTTGGATGCCGTCCCATCTTTTTAACAGGTTCAACCTGTGCATATTTTTTTTCCAGCTTTTATTTAAGTAAAGGTGTGTACATTTATGAAATAGAATGAGAGACGTCTCTTAGTCGGGCAGGGATGTAAATAAAGAGGGTGGTAAGATAAAAGTCAGGGCCCTGTTTATTCAATTTGTTTTCTCCATTTTAAGATGTAACAAGTCCCGACTGCTTCTGTCCATTTTTACTTTGACTTTTTTCCATGGCACTTTTAGCTCGAGTGTCTCTTCTTTCAACTTCTTTGATCATTTGCCGTAAAGTACGGTTTTTTTGTTTAAAATATTGAATGATAATAAAAAAAAAAAAAAAAAAAAGTTGAGCCTCAATCAAGGGGTGGTTTACTCTTGAAAATCACGCCTCATCCAACTTTAGTGGTCACCGATTCGTCCTAATCGTCATTTTTCCCCCAAAAATTCCATCAACATCGATGTATCAATTCACTTTCGGCTGTCGACCGATGACGCTCGATTTTTCGTTCCATAAACAATATTTCCGACCACGACCCGGCAATTGAAAAAATTTACGATCGACGCAACCTCCGCGCATCAAAAGGAGGATTGACAATTTTCGACCGGGGGATTTACGTACACATACTCGCGCGCGCACTCTCGTTTCGCGATAATCACCGGAATACTGAACACCGGCAATTATACACCGGGAGCCTTAATAACTACAATTTCTCAAATTGAGAGGTAATGCTCTCCGGGTGGATTTTTTTACTTCCACATTGATTTGCGATAATTGCCGCGTACACGTGATATCTCGCAGATATCGATCGAAATTAAAGTCAAATGGCGAATTTATTCGACATCGATAAAAACGATAAAAACGCATGGGAAGCGCGAAAGTTGTTCCCGCCACGCGCCGATGCAATGTCCCTCGGCTAAAATCGCACTTTTGCTGCGCCAACCACCTCCGCCGCTGGTTACCAGCCGCCGACCCGCGACCTCATCTATCACCGGGAAACCATAGCCCCTTGGTAGGTGTATACATATATACACACATATAAGTTATACCTACTCGTGCACACGGATAGCCAGCGGGCGCTGCTACTATTTGCCAGCGATGAGCGCAACAGGTTATCTGTACACGTCCTCCTCCTCCTCGCTGATACGTGCATATAGTCTATACGTATATACATACGCGCTTCCTCTTTCATTTGGCGGCAGCGAAACGCGAGTCGAGAGTGCGATTATTACCTTCGGGGGCTCTCTCTCTCTCTCTGCTTCTGTGGAGATGAGGGGTGTGTGTATAGTAATTGCTGCTGGTACAGCGTGATACTGGGGCCCTCCTCTCGTTGTTGTTGTTCGGAGAGCGAGTTAGGATTTTCGGATGAGCGATATGCGCCCCTTGGTGTAGCCTTGCGTTGTTATTAGAGAAATTGGCGGTTTTTTTATTTTCATCCCCCTCTCGCATGGGGGCTCTGTTGGTTTGATGTACGTTCCTTTGCTTGTTTATAATAATTTCACGATGCGGAACAAAGTTTTTTTTTTTTTTATTTTTTTTTTATTTTTTTTTATTTTAATATCAGCTAGTCTACACTTGTAACGTAGTCGAAAACGCCTCTATAGAGGACGAGTCACGTTTAACGCGAGTTTGCTCTATAAGTAATAAAAATCCACGCGAGGATATTTATATTTATCGGCTTTAGATCGTGGACATACATATGCGATCGATATCAACGGATTACATGAAATATGTGTCAGAGTTGAAAGACAAGTAGGTCATCGATACAATACGAGAAGAAGATGGAGAGAAAGAGAGATATGTGGTGTGTATACACGTATACGCTCCCACGCTCTCTCGCGCCACAAGTAACACCACCACGCCTCTCTTAAACTTTATTTTATTCGCTCTCGATCAATGTAACGCGCCCGCAAGTGTTCCTTCTCCCCCCCCCCTTTTTTTTGCTCTTGACCTTCTTACATCGGCCTCTCTCTGTATGTGCTTCTTCTTCTTCGTCTTCCTGGTGTGTTTACCCAAGGGTATACGACCGCTTCTTCTCTCCCATCACCTGCAGCTGTCTTCCTGGGTATGTGATCGAAGGACCTGTGCATTGTAATGTACGCCCACGCCCAACGTACACTCAACTCGGTATGTCTCAGGTGTGATGCGTACATACATTATATTATGTAGGTGGATCGAAAAAAAAAAAAAAAAAAAAAAAGAAAATAAGTGCAACGCTGCGTTGATTTTCCCCGCACTGTAGGGTGCGTGGCGTTGTAATCGCGTGCATATTTATATATTTCCGCGAAAGCAGCGCAGAACAAAAAAGGAAGACGAGGGGGCGAGCATCAGCTCTCGACCATGAGATATTATATATATATACTATACCCACACCTCGCGAGCACACATGANTTTGTGTCGATGCCGAAAAGTACCCGGTAAGCGACGCGTCGAGTTCGGATCTCTCGTTTTGGTTAATCTACGGGTTTAGCCGAGCTTGGCAGGGAGTACTCGTAGCTTTTCGAAAGAAAACGTTCGTTTACAACTATCGTTATCGGTAACCGAATGAAAAGGAAAAAAAAAAAAAAAAAAAAAAAAAAGAGAAAAACAGAGCTCCCGACGCCTCGTAAAATGTACGTATACGGGTGTGCTCTCTCTCCCACTGACTTTCTGCGCGAAATTAAAAATATATATATTCGGCTCTTTTAATGCTGTCGGCTCGGCAGTTTGACGTATACGCATTCCATTGGCCAGACGATCTTTTTTAACTTGTATACATTGGTTTCAAAATCGGCAAGCATAGTTTTACAATATATGACTTCGAAAAATTCCATTTCCATCGTGTGTTCGTGCAAGTACGGATGGTATAAAGAGTAGATGAAGTCTTGTGTTTTTGTGGGTTCGCCTCTCCTCTTAGTAGTACAGGCGTGACATTGAAACCTGTTCCTAATTTATAGTGACCAAATAATCATGAAGTAAAAAATATTGTATTGCATAATGGATATCACACAATACACTTTTTGACCCTTTTCATAAGCAACATCAGAATATCTTTTACATCGGTGTTGACACTAGGTTTTCCAGCTCTCCTTGGATATGAATATTCTTTTAAACAACCTCTTTTTTTTAACTTTCAACATGCAACAGCAGCATTGTATTTTTGTACATCTACTCTGCTGTACCTTGTACCAGTGAATTAGATTAAGGCCTATTTACTTATTAATATTTTATTCCACAATCAATGCACCTGTTGTGATTCAGTTGAATTCTTTGTGACGCCAGCCTTTAGACTATATCGACGGATACACACCCGTTCTCGATTAAAACGTAGTGAATGTTGATTTTGGTATTAATGTCACCACCCGTAGGTCCCCCCACACTGGAATCGATAATTACTTTCACAATCGCGCAACTTTTCAAAAAATCATACGACTCCTCGAGCCTCATAAACATCGTCGTCTTCCCTCCGCTTATCAAAATTTAAATAAAAACACTTAAATATCCTCTTACTCTTCCTCATATTCCCCGTAAATTTCGCAAACAGCTAATGAAATCCAATGGTATCTCCCTCTCTTTCAGAACCCGCGCCGCGGCTCGATAACTCTCTCCGAAAAAAGAAGTAAATCGAAGCGCGAAAGCGCATAACGTACACTTTCCCCCTCCTACTCCCCCCCCACCACATTTATTGCGCTCCAACAATATGACCCGCCAACGATCTCGATATACTTTTTTACACCGTAATTATACGTCATCTACACTCTCGTTTCGCAACCGCGGTCGCACTGCTCCGGGTATATTACACATGCAAACACACTCCCGCTGAGACTTTATTTTATTTATTTATTTTTCTACTATTTTGTTCTTTNATCGTTTGAACTTTTTTTTTTTTTACAATTAAAAATTTTTTTTTATGTATTAGTTTGATAGTAATAACATGTGAAGTGCATTATAAGAATAAAATATATTGGTAGTAAAGTTGATTGGCAAAATAGGTGTTACAAAAAAATGGATATTGAAAAGGTAGTTGGTGTTTTCAGTTTCAACCGCAACAAAGATGAGTATATAGATTATTTTTATTGTTATCACTTTTGAGATCACATTACTTTTCATTCTCAATTTATTACAAATGGGATTCACTATATCGTGTATGCGTACCCAGCTAACATTAAATATATTATGTCGTGGATACTGTTTTAGAACAGTATACTGTAATACACAAATGCATAATTGGATTCGGAATCGATATAACATCAGCAAGTGTACATTTATCCAAATCATATTTTAAAATAATAAAAACTTTAAACAAGTATTATTTAGAAAATGTTGTTTATATTAATTATGAGGTCAAAACTACATATTTATCAATTTAGTAAGACAATTGCAAGTAATGTGTTTATCGATATACCTCAGAAACAAATTATATTAGTGAAAATAAAAAAAAAATTTGTTAAAAAAAACAATTTTTGTTGTCCTTTACTTCCATTGAAAATTTTATACAAGCATTTACAATAAATAAAATGTGTAACACATCTTACACATTGTCTGGTACAAACGTTACAATACCAAAAAATACACAAATCATTATACCCCAGTATGCTATTCAGCACTATCATCGAATTTATATAAATACACTTATACAAATGAATATACCAACACAAATTTTACGTTTAGACTACTTTTTATTTCATTTACAACACTTAGATGAACACTTCCAAAGAATCGACGCTACCTCCGGCGCTAACTCCCTATTCGCAGTACACATACTCTTGCATTCATACCCCCACATTCGCACACCTACCTACACGCACACGTACCCACGTACCCCCCCCCCCATTAATTGCGATTGTAAAATTCAATCACAATCGTAAACATTAAAACAAGGAGAAAAAATACCTGAATTGTCGACCATAAAACAAAAACATAATTCTGGGCCAGTCACTATAATATCAATATTATTATTTAGGAAAAAAACAAGTAAAACGGAAATAACTCAGCAATTCCGTGACATATAATTTAATCGTCAAAAATATCTTACATCAGATTGCAACATATTTAATATTGAACAACAAGAGATAACATGTATTAGCCAACAGAACGTAGCTGCATACTTTAAATCGATAATCAATGCTTGCGATGCACTTTTTTTTATCTTACAATGGTTAGCTGTATGTATCCATTTATTTAATAAAATAACAGTTCATTCAACTAAATCGGTGTCTTTGTTTTTGTTCTCTTACAGTACGTTACCATGTGAACCGTACTAGCTCTTAAGATTCTGACCGAACTGGCTGGCTTATTACTGGTCTAACTTCGAAAACACGCAATGTTTCAGGACCAAACCTAATCACACTTTTTGGTCAATTTTAAGGGTGTCATCTTGAGAAAAATAAATCTAACTCTGCTGGTAACACGATTCTACCACGAGTTCGAAAATGAGCCAATGATCGGTATTGACTCGAAAAGTAGTTCTATGTTGATTTTGTGGGATATGGACTTTATCAAAGATGTGGTAATTGAGGATTTTAATACACAACAGTTTATGATTAAGGCCTAAGATACTATACCCACCATTAATTTGTGTTTATTTATTTATTAAAATATATACGGCTATAAGGCCTAATCACATGTAAAAGTTTACGATACAGCATATGTGAGGTCACAGCCAAATACACGACTGACGTGATTGGAATATGCGTTTTCGGATTAAATATGAATGCAATATTTTATTTTTCAATGATTGAATTTGTTCTTCGTTTAACGTGGTTTATTATAAAAACAAAAAAAGAAATGAAAGAATAATGCGAGATAATGTTACTTCACTCATNAATTCATAAAAGTTTATTTTGCAGTTTTTTCTTGGACTTTTTTTCGACATGAATTTAGCAGTTGCCATTACTATTATATGTCATCCAACTAAAATAGGTGTAAATTTATAAAACAAGTGTCCATTTTTAGAGATGATAAATTTTTAAGTTAGTCCATGTTTTATTCTTATAAATAAACAGAAAAGTTTAGCTAATTAAGTGTGTTCATTGGTCCAGTAAAATGAATATGTATTTATCCATTTTTAAATAATAATGTTAATCAATTTGATGTATAATCAAAAACAATAAGAAAAAGCATTTTAGAAGCTTGTAAGATGCTGATAGAACACTAAAGTCAAATTAAACACAAATTTATTAATTTTACCGTATAAATGTATTAAATTCTTATGATATACTTCTTGTAATATGTACTACATGTAATTGGAATTTTAAGATGTTAATAAGTTTTCATTTAACTTGTTTTAATCTGAAATTACGAACTAAAATTTTTAAAAGATACATTCATTTATTCCTTAAAATTCAAAATAAGAAACTGTAAGAATCATAAAACCATGATTATACTGGGTGTTGAAAAATGTTCTTGTAATCATTCTGACATTGGTAATAAATGAGGTATTTATACGTTAAAAGTCCTCTGGATTATGTAGATCGAAAATTCAGGGTTAAATTTACGGTTATTGAATTTTTAGAAGGAAGGTAATAGAGTTAGACGGTTTATGAATACTACATGAACAATTTAAAAATCAATTACGTTGCGAATAAGTTAAATCGTTACCTAAATTTTTTTAAATTCATACATTAATACTCAAATAAAGATAAAAAAACAATCTTGCGTATCAACAATCAACCGGAAGAATGATTTTTTATTAATGAATCGTTTTTAAATCACCCCTGAGTAACATAGTTTGACGGAATTAAGCTGCAGGATTACTTAAAATATATAGTTGCAGAGTGAGGTGAACGGCTAAAGTAAATCCATAAAAATCTTGGTGTCGACAGATGTATAAAACCGTGAAAACGTCAAAAGAATTTTAAATAACATTTCGTCACATCTTATTGCAGCTTGAAAATTTTTAAGTCAAAAATAATATTCCTTAAACACAGAAAACAAAACTAATTTCGTTTGATTTATAATCATTGTTTTTAATAAATTTTGTTGCTTATTGTGATTAAAAATACTTGCGCGTTTCTTTTATCAAATAAAAATATGTTCAATCGAGTCAGTTTACTTCCTGCAGTTAGCCTTACAGTTTGGATCAATGGAGGACACATTTCTCAAGGTCTTAGTTGGACTTGTTGTCCCATTATTGGCTTTATACTACTACCTTACGTCTAACTTCGATTTCTGGAAAATACGCAATGTCGCAGGACCAAAGCCGATCCCACTGCTTGGCAACTATAAGGATGTCATCTTTGGTAAAGCGAATCCGGCTTTGCTGATGACACGATTTTACAACGAATTTAAAAACGAGCCAATAATTGGTATTTACTTGAAGAGTAATCCTGTGTTGATTTTGCGGAGTGCAGACTTAATCAAAGACGTTCTAATTAAGGACTTCCATGTTTTCTCTGAACGTGGAATTTTCAGTTCGAAAAAGGATCCGATCAGTCATACTCTCGTTACTCTTGAATATGCGAGATGGCGACCATTAAGAAACAAGTTGTCACCCGTTTTTACTTTTGCAAAGCTTAAAGAAATAGTTCATTTGATAGCAGATTGTGCTGATCACTTTGAAAAGTATATAGAAAAGACCGCGGAAAAGTCTAATATTCTCGAGTTTAGAGAGTTATCTGCTAAGTTTACCACACAAGTGATTGGAGTATGTGTTTTTGGATTGAACACTAACACAATTTCCGATGAAGATAGCGAATTTCGGAGATTCGGAAGGGCTGTTTTCGAAAGCAGTTTTGGTAATATTCTTCGTCGCATACTTCGTGACTTTGCACCTTTTTTATTTGAACTACTAGGATCGCTTAAGTTTAACAGCNCGTTAAGTATTTAATTGAAAAATAAAATGGTATTTCTTTTTTTGAGAAGAACCTCATTTATCATCTAATTAATATTTTTCCGCCCTCGGGTGGTTTTGGAAGGCTGGTACTTCCTCGGGCGAAAAAGCAGTTTTCCGGAACTCGTTCGAAAAGTCTCCTTTACGAACCTCGTTACGGCTCGGGCCGCAAACGTCTCGGTTCGCAAACAGAGACTTTTCAAACTCGTAGGAAAACTACCATTTTGTCTAGTAGTGAATGCAGTAAGCCTGTTTTATAGGCATAAGTGCAGTCTTTCGTTGTGATTTCATTAATTAGTGGAAACAAAAAATTTCCAATTTTTAAATTTAGTTTGAATTTAATTTTAGTTAGACCTAGTATATAGGTAGACTCGTTTGACAGCTGGTTGTGACTCATCGCTCCACGTCCACATACTCCCAAGTGAATAAGAGTAGGTACAGAGTAACCTTGAAAGGAATGAATATAGTTATGTTTATTCTCCCAGTGCTAGCATCGACTATATAAGATTACGTGCACACACACTCAGTGGTAAGTGTGTGCTCGAACTGAGATCTTCTTATTCACCTCTTCCGTCTTACTTGAGGAATTCAAGTTGTGTAATCGCAGTTGTTCTTGAAATCTGGTGATGAACTATTGTACGTGAATTGCTATCAGCAGGTGGCTTGTCTAGTTTGCTATTTTTATTGCACAACGATGCTAGGTCACATATTTTTCAACGAGAAAAAATGAATAGTCAGGCGCTGTTACATCAATCTGTGAAGCATTTTTTTCGTAGATATTTCTTGTTTGGGTGAGCATTACGTCTTTAAAATTAATTTCAATATTATTTAGATCTATTTTATAGTATAATCTACTTGTCCGGGATACTTTAGAAAATTGTTAAATAAATATAGTCAATCGTCAAAGATTTTTTAATTTATTTTAGAGCAAACGTGAGAATTATATTCATTCTTTTCACTTCGTATAAAAGCATAGATTTACTTTAAATATTCTTTGTACATTAAATTAAAATTTCATCAGGGAATTTTTGTACACATAAAACTAAAATTTGTCATAAGTAACAAAATATTGTTCTCGGTATGCCTCTCTCTCTCTCTCTCTTAAATAAACATTAATTTAATAAACATCAATTCAATTTAAATTTTGTGTGTGTGTGTGTGTGATGACATTGATAGATTTTTTTACTAATTGTATACCTAATACCATTACGTTATCAGTTTAATTTAATTCAACCAACTCTTATTTTTGTTTTGATTTTTCTGGTTTTGAACATCGTTTATTATCAATCCTCGAGCTGCAGTATCTACACCAATTAATGGAATTCACTTAAAAATTACAAAATTATAAATTTTTTAAAAGTGAAATACTATAAAATACATCTACAATTACAATAATTTCAAATGTATAAAACTAAAATTATCCTTAACATCATATACATCATGTTATTCCAACAAATAACATTAAAATTCATAAAAGTTTATTTTGCAGTTTTTTCTTGGACTTTTTTTCGACATGAATTTAGCAGTTGCCATTACTATTATATGTCATCCAACTAATTAAATATCTTAAATCTCAAACACAAGTTTTTCTAATAAATAAAAATAAATATGTACATTTAAACATAATTATTTTAAACAATAGTTAAAGTTTTTTTTTATTTGAAAAAGAAATTGCAGCACATGAATAAAAATTTTCTTTAGCTTGTACATAGGATAAAGTATAATAATGAGAAAAAATGTGGTAAAGTAAAATAAAAGCATCAATCTCAAAAAATCAATGTGAAAGAAAAGTATTATTTGATAAAAGTTTAATTCATTTCAGTAAGTATTTATTTGATATTTTATTACAAAAGAACACTTCATGATAAACATATAAACATAGTAGAAACACTTCAAATCGACGCTTCGTACGAAGTCTATCCTTATTCAGATTTTCCAATGTTAATTTAAATGAGAAAATGTGAATAAGGCTAGACCTCGTACGAATCGTCGAAATCTACTATACGAAATGATTTTGTTCGATAAACATTTCGATAAAGTATCTTATCTACTCAGATATAGCTTATACTCGAATCATTGTTGTTTACGATAACTTTTTTTTATCTCACCGTTCGGCTCGATAACAAACGTGTATGCACTTCTTTGACAAAATAACAGTAATTCAATTAAGCCAGTTTACATATTTTTGTTTGCCTTGCAGTTCGGTACAATGGAGTACGGATTTTTCGAGGTCTTTGTTGGACTTACAGTTTTAATAATTGCTCTCTACTACTATCTAACTTCTAACTTCGATTTCTGGAAGACACGTAAAGTTGCAGGACCAAAGCCGATCCCACTTTTTGGTAACTTCAAGGATATCATATTAGGAAGAATACATATAGCCTTGCAGGTGGCACAATTTTATAACGAGTTCAAAAATGAGCCGATGGTCGGTATTTTCGCGAAAAGCAGTCCAATGCTGATTTTGCGGGATATGGACTTGATCAAGGATGTCCTAATCAAGGATTTCCACGTTTTCTGCGATCGTGGAACTTTCAGCTCAAAAAAAGATCCCCTCAATCAAAACCTCGTCAACCTGGAGCATGAGAGGTGGCGACCGTTAAGAAACAAGCTGTCGCCTGTTTTCAGTTCAGGAAAACTAAAGGAAATGTTTTATTTAATGGTAGATTGCGCCGATCATTTTGAAAGGTACGTCGAGAAAATTGCGGAAAAACCTACGATCACGGAGTGTCGGGAATTGACCGCCAAGTTTACCACACAAACCATTGGTGTATGTGTGTTTGGCTTGGACACCAACGCTATTGCCGACGAGAATAGCGAATTTCGGAGATTCGGAAGGGCTGTTTTCGAAAGCAGTTTTGGTAATATTCTTCGTCGCATACTTCGTGACTTTGCACCTTTTTTATTTGAACTACTAGGATCGCTTAAGTTTAACAGCAGGATGGGCTTCTTCGTTAAATCGATGACGGAAACGATGACATATAGAAGAAAAAATGAAGTGAGAAGAAACGATTTTATGGATCTGNGTTTACCACACAAGTGATTGGAGTATGTGTTTTTGGATTGAACACTAACACAATTTCCGATGAAGATAGCGAATTTCGGAGATTCGGAAGGGCTGTTTTCGAAAGCAGTTTTGGTAATATTCTTCGTCGCATACTTCGTGACTTTGCACCTTTTTTATTTGAACTACTAGGATCGCTTAAGTTTAACAGCAGGATGGGCTTCTTCGTTAAATCGATGACGGAAACGATGACATATAGAAGAAAAAATGAAGTGAGAAGAAACGATTTTATGGATCTGCTATTGGAGTTGCAAGATCAGCCCGAACAAATGGGCAACATGGGTAAATATTAGTAATTTATGTTAATGTGGTACATAAGTATTCCTGTTATTATCAATTTAAATCTGATGTTTTCTCGATCAGATGTGAATGACAGATTTTTAATTGGCCAGGCTGTAGTATTCTTTGCCACTGGTTTTGAAACGTCAGCTTTGACAATAAGCAATGTATTTTATGAAGTAGCTCTGAATCAAGACATTCAAGAAAAATTGCGACAAGATATTGAAACTCAATTGGAAAAAAATGATAGAAAGTTAACTTATGATTGTATTAAAAGTATGACTTATCTTGATAAAGTGATTAAAGGTACATCAAACATTATTTTAACTCATATTTATAATAATTTCTATGATAAAAATACAATNGTGATGTTTTTTTTTTTTTTTTTTTTTTTTTTTCTCGTAGAGGGATTATTACACGAGAGAGGTGTATAGGGTTTCACCCGATTTCGCGTGACTTTTATTGATGCTTTCGAGGTATATACGCTCACGCGCGAAAAACCACGCACCCGCAAAAACGCACCTCGAGCCGGTACAGACCGGGAGGGAGAAAAATTTCAGTCACGATAGGTAAAACGAGGAAGACAGTTTGCCCGCCGCGACGTCGACTAATCGCAAGTATGCGTCAGTGCCGGCTATTTTTAAGGAAACCCGAGCAATTACGAGTCCCTCCTCCTTTTTTTTCCAGCGTAATTGATATTAAAGCCAATTCGTTCGAGGAAGCAATCTCCCCGAGAGTTGTACGAGGGGGACCAACAGCACATAGGGGTGGGCAACAGCTAAGCTGAATATTATGTCACGACCCAAGCACACGCGTATATATGTATACATAATATACGCAACGTAACGAGAGGCCATCGTTCATGCTCCGGCGCTCGCAAACGGCCCCTGTATATTACACTAGATAGCTTAGTCGTCACCGCTCCAGCCGCGAGAGAATTTCTCTGATTCATTACCACCCCGACTCCTAAAATCTCGAGTTTCGCATATATATATATATGTACATTTCCAGCGCGCGCCGCAACGCAATAATACTACTTCATATGTACGGCTCATGGTGAAAATTCGCGCATTTATACCGCATGAATATGCGCTTTGCGAGAGAGGGAGGAGGGAAGAAGGATGGATAAACGCGTGCGCTCGCGTATACCTACGGCACCGTAAGTCACGCTAATTTACATCGGGTGTGCGCGCGGGAGGGCTGCTCGAATTCGCGCTCCAACAAAAAAATAAAAACGGGGGGGAGGACGGGCGCGCGAGCGTCAATTGAGAAAATTGAATTTATAATTTCTGCAATAAAGTTGCGCCCCCCCCCCCGCCCCTGCTCTCGCGTGTACACGTACGTTCGTATGCGCGGGAGGAGGGAGGTACGGTGGATTTACGAGTTTTTGATTGTGAAAACGTTAAAAACACGGGTACAGGGTACGCTATTTAATGGCTTGGGGATGATGATTCACACGCGTCGCGCGCTTTTTACCTTTCCCGCTTTCTCGGAGCTGCGGGACGAGTGCTTTATACGACGGATTACGGCGCGGGGGGGTAATTAGCCGCACGAATAAATTTTCTCGCGCTGCGCGAGGGAGGGGGGGGGAATCGCAATAATTATTCAGATGGTGCATCCATTCGCAACCAAAAAAATGGGTTGATTTAAGTGGGTAATTAAAACACAATGAGGAGCGATGAAACTATTTTCACCCCCGCGTTGGGCTCTGCTGAGGTTCTAAATGTACAGTTTTTTTTTTTTTTTTTTTTTTTTTCTTCACATCTTCAAAGCTCTTTATGCACGCCAATGTGCATGACACGCTATATCCACGCGAGGAGGGACAGTAGAGGGCAAACGTTTCCCGGATCTCATTTGCGGGCTTTCGAGTGGTGTGGAGTTTACGCGCTCGTAATTCACTAGATTTCGCCCGGCCGCGCCAAAGAGCCTATGTGCAGCCGGCGCGTGGGCGTGTTAAATGATTTCGCGAACGGGTCCCCCGCCACGCAACAGCTTGCTCGTGTTTTCTTTTTTTTTGTTTCCCCCTGGAAAATTAAAATCTATTTTCACGACGCTTTCAATTAAATACGCCCGTGTATGCGAACGCGACTCATTTGTCAAAATAGGAGGGATCGAATGTATTTGTATGTCGTGTCGTTTAGCGTAGGCGACACGTACATTTGCTTTAAAAAAAAAAAATATTATCGTTACGTATACTCGGCCTGTATAATATCGCTCGATCTTCGATTCCACTTGCAAAACAATCGCGGCGCACCTGTAATTATCCGCGTCTTGAATACAACGAGCACGCCTTACCGGTGGTCTGCTACCTGGTGCATGTGTATATATACCTACGTACGGGCGAGTGGCGCTTGGGTGGGCGGTTTTACGCACACGAAGGGGAGATAATAACAATTAAGCCTCGCGTGATGTTTTTTTTTTTTTTTTTTTTTTTTTTTTTTTTTTTTTTTTTTTTTTTTTTTTT